GTATAGTCGAATAAGAAGGTGAAAAGTGCCCCCAAACTTAATCGATAATCGCTCATATGAAAGAGAATAAAAAAATGTCGTATACTCCCAAAACATTACCCTCCTGGATCAATCTGTTACAAAGATACAATGATAAACGTGTTTTTTATCTTTTCTATCTTCTCAGATTATATTGCATGAATCAGGTTAAAAAAATGAAGAGACGGAGAAAAATTATTGAATTTCTACATATTTTTGTCAACCAATTTTGACGATAAATTCCAATAGAAAAAAAACGAAATTGATTTTCGACGACATTGAAGCGTCGCGTTGAAGTAGTTTCAGTTTTCTCCCCTATAATGTGTCTCACCCCATTCAATAATATATCTTGTTTTTTATAGATTTTTAACAATGTGGATGATAGTAAAAAGTAATTAAAACCAAATTTTACCTCTTCAAATATTTTAAACTCGCGCCAAAGTGTGATTGAAAAAACATTTCACAAATGTTCAAACAATTTCTATTTAATTTATTGAAAAATCTCACATACAAGCATGATTTATAACTTTTTGCTGACAAATGATTGTTTTTATATGGAAAGTATTTATGTTATCGAAAGAAAGCAAACAAAGCCCTTTTGTTTTAGATTATGTGCTATTTTTAATACACTGAAGAGCCAAAAAACTAGTACACCCAAGCTTATTGAAATAGATCTGGAACCAATCATAATACGACGCTCCGGTACGACTATGAAAGGCAACCAGTCTAACCCAGTCATTAGATTGGCTACTGCTGCTACAATGGCAGGTTATCACAATTATTTTTTTTGTTTGAACATGGTGTTATAGTCGGCGCAAGAGATATGGGGCATATCATCTCCAAGGTCGCAATAAAATTTGAATTTTTCCATACGACCATTTCCCAAACGTACCGATAATATCAGGAATCCAGTAAAACATCAAACCTCCGGCATCGCTATGGCCGCAAAATGGTCATGCAAGAACGGGTCCTACGACTTCCGCAAATTGCTGCAGATTTCAATGCTGAGCCACCAACAAGCTACATGTTGCGAACCAATCATCGAGGCATTATCGATATGGGGTTTTGGAGCCGAAGCCTACTCGTCTACCCTTGATGCACGACACAAAGCGTTACGCCTCGCCTGGGCCCGTCAACACCAACATTGGACTGTTGATGACTGGAAACACGTTGCCTTGTCTGACGAGTCTCGTTTCACATTGTTTTCAGCCGATGGACGTGTACGAGTATATCGGCAACCGCATGACCTCTAGACCCTGCATGTCAACAGGGAACCGTTCAAGCTGATAGAGGGTCTCTGTTGGTACGGGGTGTGTGTAATGAGAGTGATATGGGACCCTGATACGTCTAGTTACAACTCTGACAGGTGACACGTGCGTAAGCATCCTGTCAGATCGCATGTAACGTTTCATGTCAATTGTTCATCCCGACGAACTTGGGCCAGCAGGATAATTCAACAGACCGTGCGTCCATAATTGCAACAAAGGGGCTCCAGAAACCCTCTTCTGAATTTAAAAACATACACTGGTCACCAAAATCCCCAAAAATGAACATTACTGAACGTATCTGAGATGCCTTGCAACGTGCTGGTCGGAAGAGATCTCTACCCTTTCTTACTGTCACGAGTTTATAAAAACCCCTGCAGGATTCGTTGTGTCAATTCCTTCCAGCACTTCTTCAGACATTAATCGAGTCCATGCCACGTCATGTTGATGTACTTCTGCGTGCTCGCAGGACCCCTACACGATATTTGGCAGGTGTACTGATTTTTTTGGCTCTTTAGTGCATAGATCAAATTACTCTGTTTTAGGTAGATTAATCATTCATGTTTATATTATAAATCAAATTACTCAGATGTCAGCTTTTTAGTCATTAACAATTAGACAGTCATAGAGAATTAATCATTGTCACTGACTTCTTCAATAACTGCGATCACGAGATCTTTTGTAAACAGTCTACCAAAAAAAGGGCTGACGGCTTAACAATATTCGCCAAGTAACGAGCGTGCGGCAAATACAAAATGATTGCAACTATGTGAGAGCAGCAACCCAGTCCGACTACCATCCGCACGTTCAATCTAATACTGCTTCGCTCCCGAAATGGGAATTTTCCATGGTTACACTTTCCATGGTGGAAACAGAGGGGTGGGCCCTTCGGGTGCATCGATTTTTGCTCGTCCTTCGCAGCACCAGTTTGCTTAACGAACCACGTTTCCACAGCACGGTCACTTTGGTTGAAACGCCATACCAGACAGGACAGGATCTTGAGTGTGTTGTGTTAGGTACGCTTGTTTCTAATGAGACTCTTCGTCCATGTTTTATTTCTCTGTCTGGTGGTCTGCTGATTTATTGCGACCCCTCTCCCCCGTAAAGGGACGGGGATTGGATCCGGGGTAGGGAATTGACGGATAGTTTTTTTAAGGGGGTATGGGGGTGTGGGAACGGGAAAGGAATGCATTTAGAAGGGGAATGGGATACAACGCCATAACAGACGTTAGATGCTAAATTTCATGGAGAGCGAGAAGTGTTGAGAAACATTTTGAAAGTGGCGTAAAGAAGCAATTTTCCGCAATGACCAACCAAAAATAACACATGAAAGAGTAATTAAAATAAAATATGAAATTTTAAAAAACGCTCATTGATTTCTGTTTCAATAACTTGTAACTGTAATAATTTTGGCTTTTAATTTCCCGCTAATATTATGACGCCAACTGGTGCCTGAAGATCATTGCATGAAATAGGTTACAATGGGAAAGAGCCCACACATCTCTTTCTACCACAGATATTCCGATTGAATTTCGTACATAATCAATGTAACGCCTAGAAAATTTCGAGTTCGAATGTCGTGATTAAATCTGTGTTTAAATATTGGTAACACAAAAATAAATTCCTATCACAGTTGGGCGCGAGTTTAAAACTTGTGTACTGATAAAATTGGTTGTAAATATTTTTCACTATCGTCCACATTGGTAAAAAATCTGAAAAAAATATATGTAATAGAATATGATGAGACACATTCTAGGGGGAGAAATGAGACACTACTCCAACGCCGTAACGTTGAAAATCAATTTCAATTTTTTTCTATTTGAATTTGTCGTCAAAATTGTTTCACTACTACTCTCTCCATTTTTTTCAGCCAGATGCATGCAATAGAAGCGGAGAGAAAAAGAAAACATGAAAACCACTTTTTTAATTTATCTGTGAAACACGTTGATGCAGGAGGGTGATGTTTTGTAATATGACTTTTTAAAAATTTTATTTCATATGAGCATCACAGTTATCGATTTAGTATGGGGGCACTTTTCACCCCCGTATTCGTCTATACTTGGGGTTCGTTTTCATATTACCTATGGTCTACTGACATGTTACCAAATGTGTTTCGAATAAGACGTTCTCATATGCAATCAAAATTAAATTATAGAAGCTTAAACAGAACATACTTTCTCGCATTATTTATATCTTTTGGAATTCACCAAACTCAGAGAGTTCAACGAAAATGAAATCTGTAAACTTTTAAGTGTTATAAGTATCCGGAGAATAAAATATAAATTACCTTCAGTTAAAGCAAAAATGAGACAAAAACTACGAACTTAGAACAGATTATAATAAGGAAACAGTGTTTATTACCACATCGTACAATTTACTATATCAGGGACATTTTATTATCTGCTTCTTTCACACTTAAAGATCCATCAAGTCGGTTCAGAATATGCTCACGATTTCCCAAGGATAAACTCAGACCTCCATAAATACTCATTTTCATTAATTCCCAACAGCTATTAATATTAAATAAAACATATAAATATTTTATTCAATGAATTATAAAAATAAATTCACATGAAATCAATTTTCAAAATTATACATTGAACACAGTCTGTAATATTCAGGACAATTAGCGTGAGAACGAATGTCAAAGCATTATTTTGTAAAATTTTAACACCCCTGAAAGGCAGCAATGACGAATAGGAGGAAATAAATTTAAAAAAAGTCGGTTCAGATCGATCGGGGTATATTCATTGTGCATAATTCTCTAATTTAAGCGATAATGTTGTTCATATAGGAACTGTCTGAAGGATGGGTGTACGTTTTGAAAACCTAATTCGCACATATTTTCTCGCATTAACTTTTGGAATTTCCAAATTTCAGAAAGTTCGACGAAGTAGAAAAATATCTATCCATGAAAAAAATTATTTATAAATAGTTTTATCTTAAAGTAGAAATTACGCGAAAATTATTCGTTTTATCACAAAAATTGTACATGATTTTTCAACATATCTTTTTTAGAAAACATTTAATTTAAAAAAAATCTATGACTGATATTGTCCTTTTGCAATTTTAATTCTTTGTAATTATTTCCAAATTAGAGCGAGCTCACCAAAAATATCACTAGAACTAGTTTTGATTGTCCATTGTTTCGTATTCCGTTTCCGTTACTCCGTTTATAAAAATATTCGAACCGTATTTGAGGAACTTGTGAATGGAAGGAATGTTAACAAGAAACTCCGGGGAAAACCCGGCTTTGAAATTCGCTACTACAAGTATGTTCAGTGTTACGTATCAGCAATAATTGTCAGACTATGAATGGACACTTGTTAATATTTATCAGTTCCTTACTCCGTATTGTTCTATGAATTGCTAAATATGTTATCTGTTGAGCGATAGGTATACTCACGTTTCCGTTCAACATTTCATAGAAATATGAGATAAAAATGTTGATTATTTTTCTTCCTTTTTTAAAAGAGATGATACAATTTGAGAACCCAAGAGCTAGAAGATGATGATTTTTAATTTTAGTATTAATAAATTTTATTTATTTTCTCTTTAAAATTAGACTTTAAATTCCATTAACGCCAACGCTCTAATCGTTAATTCTAACAACGCTCAAATCGTCTTTGTTTTCCAACAATCGAAATCCAAGAATCACCAGGTACAAGCCAAAAGCCCATGCTTCCAGAAGATGTCCCAATTCACCGCGCAGCCTACCTGAGCCTCCAGAGAAATTACACGTAACTTCTCACACTTTGCCACTACTGTCCGGGCCGCCACGTCGCGCTACCCCTTACGCCAACTGAACACGATTGTATTCTCCGCGTCCTGGCCTGGAGGGCACGCGGTTTTATAGTTCTAAAGTCTGCGGAGCGAGTCCTGACCTTCCTCTCTTAACTTGCCCGGGCGAGTAGCAAAAGGGACGGCTATCCTCAATGGCCGCGTCACGTTCCCGTCTGCTGCTCGCCCGGTCATCGCAGTTGACCTGCTACCTGGCGGCGCTTTCCCGCACCTCTCATACCTGCCGAGTGCCGCGGCGGGGCAGTTACGACATGCCGGTAGGCTACAGCGCGCCGCAGGCAGTAATGCTATTACCATAGCATTAATCTCTACTGGAGGCAATAGCATGCCGCATCGCCTTGATCGTGAATGCCACGCTTTTCAGCCACCGCCAAATAGATTCGCTGAAATAAAACCATACAATACATGTAGGGATGCGCTGTGCAAAATTCCCTAATTTCGTCGAAGAATGTCAATCGCTGTAATTACGTCAAAAAACATATGGCAAAAAATTGAAAAAAAAGTGCTTGCTTGATTATTTTTAATTTTACCTAATTCTATCCCACACGAAAGTTCACAGCGTCGTTCACTCCTCCCCTCTTGTGCCGAGATGACCAAACTGCACAGAGCAGATATTTCATTGTGCTAGTCGTGGTACAGAGTGTCAGTGGTAGCAACACATAACTGTCTTAAAGGTTGAGACGTGTCATGTTAGGTGTAATGATTATATTAATGCAAGTCTTTTCTATTTCAGGATACTGTACCAAGACTGAGAAATTATGAAACATACGGGGATTGTTCTGTATCTTGCTACCCTGCTATGTAGCAGTATTGCTCGTAAGCCTTCATTCTATTTGTAGAGTTAGTTAATTGATTATGAATAGGTAAAAAATTAACGATTCCAGCTCATTTCGAAAAAATTATAATTTTTTTCTTCATTTATTTTACAGATTCTAAAATTACTAAATGATATACTAAGATACTAAATTACTAAATAATTACTAATAAAGAATATGGAACACAAATTATTTCTCAGAAATGTTTCCATATTAACAATAATTGTAAATAAATACATGAACAATAATTACGCAAATGACACATTTTAAATTAACAAACTATAAACTAGGTAATGTAAAATTAATTATTTGAATAATAAATGACTTATAAAATTTAAAACGTTCAGTGTCAGATTATTAATTTTATTAGAAGAAATATGACCATCTTTCTATGAAACTGGAAATCAAGAGTCAGTACACTACTTTAAACTACAGTTAAACTACTTTATGTAGTCTTCGAGTTAACTCATAAAAATGTGGCGAATATTACTTCGGGTTCGCTGAGCTGAGTCTTGAGAATTACAAAGTAATATATTTTCTCAAATCACGTTATTATATAATACATTCTATATATTCAAGGGCTTTCACTGGTCATCTGTAGTAGGTTATACGCAAAATTTAAATTGTTAAATACTACATAATACACTATCACCATATAAATTTAAATAAAAAATAAATTAAAATGAATATTCTAGCTAAAGAAGAACATTACTAACCCCATGAAATGTGATAAAATTATGCGCGTATGGCATGTGGTGTATTTGTATAATCAATTCAAATATAAATTTGGTAGGGGCTAACAGTTTTAGAGGGGCTAACAGTTCATTTTCCACGAAAGAAAATAACAAAAGAAAGCAATTATCCTATAAGTAAGTGCATTTGTGTTGTAAGAGTACAAAGTAGTAAACGTCGAACCTAACCTCTAAAATCAATCTAACTGATGCCGCGGTCCCTTGTATTAGAAATTGATCTTTTAATTTTGGGGGGTACTTTACATGAAGCCCCTCGCACATTTTTCAAATAAAAAAGGCTCTATCGTTTTCCATTAAATTTTGTTGTTGGTTAGTTTAAAGGACGTTAAAGAGAATGGCGCATGTCTCATTTTCGTTAAAACTGATTTTTTCGAAAATTGTAAAATTTCCAACTTTTTTCAGAGTATTCCTACGACTAAAATATTAAAGATAGATATTTTTCCTTTAATGAAATGTGTTCCTTAAAGATATATTTTGAAATAAGATGCTGTACAATATTTCGAAAATTTGAGTATTTTTCTCGATATGGTACGAGAGAATACGGACGAGAAAGTGCGTACTTTTATAGCCCCATATTTTTACTTTGTGTTTCTTGTAGTGTATTATGTTTAATTATGAAGTAGTATTCGATTAAATTCTTCTTCAGTTTTTCCTAATAGATTATCATTAAAAATTCGTAGAAACATAATTATGAAGTAATAAATGATTTATAGAAAAATAATTTAGTAAAGTTCATGTACCAGTATGAAATCAAGAGATCGATTGACTTAACCCTTAACGTTTATGGTGAAAATATTGAAATCGAAGCATTGGAAGTGCTATTACATATCCATCACTAATTCTTAAGAAAATGCAAAATATCTTAAAATAATTAAAAGCAATATAACACAAACATTTTATGACTGTAATTCCCAAATTAAAATTACTAATTGCTGTAAACTGTATGGATTAAGTTAAACTGACCAAAAAACTAAGAAGTATTATTTCTGTTTCAGAGGAGTCTGGCGAAGAGAGTAAGTAGATTTCTTTCTTTTTTTCATCCTCTCTTTCTTTCTTGCATTAAGTGGCGTATGAGTGTACGGGCTATGTCAACACGAAGCATGTGACGAATCAATGTCAAGAAGGTTCTCTAACTTTCAATTGATGAACAACTATTCGTGGAGCCTCAACTAACATTATTAAGAGATTATTCTCTATTCTTATTTCAATATTTATTACGATGACCCAAATTGTTTTTTGTAAAAGCAGCTATAATGCAATAAAAAGAACATTAGTAAAAAGTTTGATAGTGTGCATGTTTGTTAATTAGTGTGTAGATTTATGTATAAATTTTGTGGGACGTAAGAGGTTAAAATATGAAGGTAATAAATAGAAAAATAATTATCGCCTTATTTGTGGTAATTTGGTGGCAATGAATTACAGACAGATTCTTCGTATGAACCAAATGTAAATAAAATGCTCTATGTTATGTACACAACACGGATGTGCAGACAACTAAATGTGGGTCCATGAAATTCGAATAGTTAATATTTCACTAATGTCAGAAATAAATATCCTTGGTTGTTTCTATAACTTATAAAGCGCTTACTTCTGGAACTATCAAGTTTAATGAGTTTTTTATTTACCAACACTAAGAAATGTTCCAAAATGAAACAAATTCAGAAACCTACTTTGGTGCGAGGGAAAGGAAACAAAAACTACTTCGTAGAATTATTTACTCTTCAATTAATTATGGGCTACAAAAAAATGCTGACTGCAACTTAATTATGAGGCTTGTTCTGTAATTTTATTTAATACAGTCCTTCTGAGAAATGTGATCTAACAAAGAACTTGTCTGTTTCAGGTAACTGGAATTATGGAAGTAAGTAGATTTTTATCTTCACAAATTTTATTTACTTATATTGCTAATGTTAACTAGAATTAACGCGTGTGTTTCTCCTTTGAATGAACTACGGGTGAATTTTTTAAATAACTGTCACCGAGCATTCAAATACAGAAATGAAAAATAAAATGTGTAATGTAGCAAAATATTGTTACTTCAATGCACAAAATAATACAAATTAAAGTTAACACAAAATTCACAGCTTCCACATGATTCTTTCTATTCGTTTGCAATGGCTTCGGTTGGTGTAATATTAGCATATAGGAACGGTATGTTTCCAGATTCAATCGTTGACGCAGTTACGTGATTCTTGACACCAGATAATCCTTACCCCCCTCTAGCATCTGTGAATGGTCATATGTATTACTAAAGCAGAGGGGAATTTTGACCACCGACACTTAATAAACTTTTACGATGACGTGTCATGACGTGGAGAAGAAAAAAGGAAAAATTGAATGTTTATTAAATAAGAATAATTTTTGTTGGTGAAACTTTAGAAATTTTTAATATTAAAAAATATATAATTGATATGTGGATTCATTTGAATGATTAAGAACAGAAATAAAAGACTGTTGGAAAATTTGCAAATTTGCACCCTCCTTTGTAGTGTTGCTACGGTTATTGGCAGACATGTCTGCAGAAGACTAGTAAAGAAGACATTATCGCGACACGCGCGCAGCCTAAACCGTGAAGGTTTATGAGGTGATTTATTCCATTCTCTACTGTGCAAAAAACAGTTGACTTAGAATAGTTTCGGCGATTTTGCATTGTTTGGGAGGAAGGTGTAAAGGAGTGTAACCAGGTATAAGCATTTCGTCATTTATGACAAAAAACTGACAACCGAGACACACAAAAGTATACAAAAACTGACAAACTATCGATTACTTTCTTATCACCACTCACGTTCCTTATCCAATCTTCCTTGACAGTTTATTCTTATACAAGACAAAATATCAACAATATTACTCATCTTTTCCAAAATACTTTCTTCTTCCCATTTATACCGAAGTCACATAAGAAAACAGTTAAAGAAAACACAATCATTAAACACCACCAAACAGTCCTTGCAGTATTTATTCGAAGCAGAAATGTTCTCTTTGAACAGATCAACCACGATGGGAAGGACAATGCACCACTGGCGATAAACAGAGTCCAATCAGTCTGGAGAGAGACAGTGCTGAGACAGAATGGAGGGTTTTTCCGTTAAGCAGCAGCATATCATTTTCGGATTACGACAAGCAAGCAGATGGCACCTTCACAAATAATGGACACTCAGGTGAGACGTTTTTATTAATTTGACGCAAGCAGGACTGCCGAAGACTTTTAGACCTTTGTCCAGAGCTCAGTCTTAACGGTGAAAGTAGGGACGAGGTTCTCTTTTTTAAAAGATTTTCGTATGCGATTCCAGAGTTACACAGTACTGTTACTAAACAATCGATGGAGTGTAAACAGAACGCTGTTGGTTGTGAAAGGGATTCATTACAAATCAAAACATTTCTTTGCAAAATATATACAGTAAACCCTCATTAATACGAATTGCAAGGGACCGAAATAATCGGAGTTTGTGTTATAAAAATTTGTATTATCTGATTGGTATAAATGTCCATATTACTGTAACCCTTGGTCGAGACGAAAGTTTTGTTCGTGTTACGGCAATATTCGTGTTGAGCGATTGCGTGCTAACGAAGGTTTACAGTATTACTTATTTTCAATGTGTCAAGAAAGTCTCAGATACAATCAAGAAATTTGAATGTTTCAATTTTTATACTCTGCCGAATTCCTCAGCAATTTTTTTCTTCTTTTGGCTGCGGTGTAGAAGCGAGAGAGAAAGAGAAAGAGAGAAAGAAGGAGAGAAAAAGAGAGAGAAAGGAGGAAAGAAAAAAGAAAGAAAGAGAAAGAGAGAGAAAGAGTTTTCTGTTGCTGGTCGCATTACCGCAGCGCATAGCTCCGTTCATTCACTAAGTTGCCATCACTGCCCGAATATCGTGTACCGATGATCGTTTGGTTAATTTCGCTGCCGAGGTTCAGCTCACATATAATTGTTTATGGAGCGATGTACTTCACTTGACACCTAATACCTTGGTACCTGTTACCCAAATTACTAAGTAATTGAGTGTGTAATTTCCATATTGTTCATGCGTACGTGTAAAACGCATTATACGCGCGGCGGCATACATTTTTAAAAGTGCTGAAGTCCAAGTTTCATTTTATAACTCAGTAAATTGTTCAGTTAGTAACCGAACTCATGCAACCAACTCCATTGTGAATCTAGAATAATAATACTCTAATGCTCAATACATAATACTCTAAGACTGGAATCTAGTATACGAATGCCTCTCCTCATGCGTTCCTATTATAGCAAAACTTCGGTACCCTCACTACTCGTAATTGCCTTCTTCTTACTGCTCCCACCCCTTTCAGCAGCCAGACGTAGGCGAAGTTCTCGCATGATGACTTTACCCTTTCGTGCTATTGGTTGTTAACAAGTATGTTAATGCTTGTTAATGTAATGTATGCTATCTCTCAGCTGCTGTCGTGCGTGCCCTTTTATTATTTATCATCATGGGCCCATTGGTCGGCTTGACATCTTCTCTATTGAGAAAAACCCTACTTCGTCATTGTCTTATTCCAAATAGCAGTTGACTATCTCTTTAGTTTAAATTGTCGCTTATGCGGAAATGTTTCCGAAATTGAAGTGCAGGGTTTAAATTCTACAGATGAATTGTACTCTTATTATATACTTACAGAGGAATTGTACTTCTTATACTGTTTATTCTTTATATTTCCATCTATTGAATACTCTTGAAAATATATGTGTCTTAACGCTGAAGCAGATGTACGATGTAAATGAGGAAAGTAAATTGTCATTACTTTTCGAATCTCCTCGTTTGAGTGACTTTTATCAAAAACAAAAACTTATTTTTGCAGTGGAAATGACATTGGAATACAGCGACCCGTCCGCAACCCCTCGAACAGTAGTTTCATCAGAAGGTTCCTCTACCACATTTTTGTTTAGAAGTCTACATTTTCACTGGCCCAGTGAACATTACATTAATGGAAAAAGGTAGGTATTTGCGTGCTAATACAATGTAATACATTATTTTCTTTTCATCTAGTTTAGAGTGTCGTCGCAGATGCTTTAAAAAGGTTGAAACATAATTTTCATATTTCTTAGTTTGAGTTTTTCAAACAAATCAGGATACAAAACATGGCCAGTTCCCTACCAGATGGTTGAAACGCTTGTCCCATTCGGTGAATGGGAAGGGATCTGTTCATAGTATTTTGTTCCGAAGCTCACCTCTTCCGCGTTTCGACCTGTTTTTAAGTATTGTTAAATTGTTTGTATTGTTAGAGTCGAATTAAATCGACTTTTCCCAATTAGCGGTGTTTTAAAAGCAGCACTGTTTTTAATATATATTATCTACGCAGGCGGGTGAAGGAGGCATATGATGAGCTGCAATATTCCCGTCACTGTACCTAGTTTATTTGACCACCCTATCTTCCTTTCGTCATACAGCTACAAAAACTGATACGATTTTGTATTAGAAGTAGGCAGCTTCATTTTGGCCTCAATTGAATGAATAATGGTTAAAAAATTTAAATAATAATGATCTCAAATAATACGGAAATAATTAATATTACCAGTCACCTACTAACAGAGCAAGACGTGTCGAGTGACATCTCGCTTATCCCAAAAGATGGACTGGTAGTGGTCGAAACCTCTCGATGAATCAACAAGAGGAATACGCAAAGATAATTCAATTTCTGTATGTATAATTACTGTGAATTTTAACACGGAATCCACAGAATTGGTTATAGGCAAATGTTTGCCGTTGAAACCTTGAATGATTTTATAAAAAGGAAAGGAGATTTCATTTATGCATTGATATACACAGACTTATCTCTTTTTTGTCTTTGGAATAAGACGTTTCGCCGCTATTCAGACACAAAATTACAGGATTTTGTATGGATGATGATCGTTCACTGTTTGTTAGTCTTGGAAGTCAACTGAAATTATCTACTAGCAAGCGTAGTTAACGTTATCGGTTTATTGTCTTCGTTATATATCGTTATATATAATAGCAGAAAGTTTGTGCTGTTGTATCACTGCTAGTGACAAAATATCGAATTTCACAATGCAGGCTGTTAAGTGCAAGAAAAGAGGTTCAACATATGAAAAATATAAAGAATTTTTTTTTTGGCGCCTCGGCCCGTCTATGGGCCATGGCCTTCGACTTCCCGGCCTTCATGGGTTAAGGGGGTACGAGTGGTTAACACGAAGACATTTCCACGCAGTATTCAGGTCTTCTCCATCTGAGAAGTGAATTTTCTCATCGTCACGCAACAATATATACTGACATTGCAAAGAAAAAGCATCACCATAATCTTACCTGACCGGGAATAGAACCCGGGTTTGCGTCATGGAAGGCATGCTGACCAATGAGGATATACATAGTTTATCTTACAAATTAAGGTTCTTCTGTTGTTTTTTCAGATACGATCTTGAGATGCACATGGTACACCAATCGGAAGACAATAGGCTATTGGTTCTGGGTTATATGTTCCATGTAAGTAAACGTACCTATTCAGACATGACTTCTCTTTGGAAATAAAATTAAAGGATGTACTTGGAAGACTCTGAGTTGTCTTCCTATAAAAGGTGTCCGCTTAAATGGGCTTAAATTAGTCCCATTTAATTTTAGTGATCGTATTAAATTATGGAATCACAATATATAAAAATAAAACGAAAAGTTGAGATATTTCTTAATGAAGACAATGTTTTCACGATCATTTCAATAATTCATATGGAAATAGGACATTTTTAGTCATTATTCTTGTGACTTATTTAAAAATCAATTTAGAGTGAAGTGAATAACTCAAAAAGCCGTATCAGAATCAGGTATACCTAGCGCTAGGTAAGACTTCTAGTTTTTGAAAGCGATACGGGGTTGCTATCAATGCACATTCTCACTTTATTTTAGATCTGTCATACGTAATATTTGTATTTTATTCAAGAAATCAATTTTCAGAAAAACACTGAGCCAATCTGATAGTACCAGGGCAGGAGTGTTTATAAATCAGGGGTGTCCTACCTGCTAGGCTTCAAGTGCCATAACTAAAACCTTTAACATGGTTGCGAGCCATATTTTTATTACTCGAGCGATTCATACGCGTCCTCGAATTGTTGATGTGAACAGTTTGCCCGGCTGCTCTGAAATTGGGGGCATGGGACCATGCGTGATATCAAGTCTTTCCATACGTATTAATAGTAATAATAATAATAATAATAATAATAATAATAATAATAATAGTGAACCCATTGGGATCATAACACAGTGTAACATATTGGGATGATTTTGAATTTCTGAGTTTATTATAAAATGTTCTTAAATCTAAACATAACCTATTTTTACATTAAGGGGAGTTGACCACGATAGAGTGCGTGTGCTCGGCGCAGGCTGTTGGCGCCAGACATCGATGCAAAGGACTTTCACGTTTGACTAAACACCTTTCGCAGGTCACAATAAATAGCCCCTTCGGGCCGCCAGTTGCACAACCCTATTATAAATGACACACTATTTTTCGGAAAGAGGGAGACAAGGCAATTGAAAACCGGACCCAATGTGAATGAAATCAGTGTTATTGTTTCCCAAGCACTCATTGGTACGTTAGAAACCCATCATTCCCAGTTTTTTTCGACAGTCTGAGTCTTATTTACTGCCCATACATTTTCCAAATTCACTGTAAAGTGGGCTCGAGATGTCAATGTGCTCGAGATGTCAATGTG